AAATGCAGCCACCTCTGGGGTGAAGCAACTGGGGAACAGCCGCACAGGGACGGCTCACCCGGCACTGAAATGCAGCCACCTCTGGGGCAGAGCAACTGGGGAACAGCCGCACAGGGACGGCTCACCCGGTGCTGAGATGCAGCCACCTCTGGGGCGGAGCAACCAGGGAACAGCCGCACAGAACGCCTCACAACACAGAGCTGCCTAGCTCCCAGCACTGACTGCCGGGAGAGAGCGCCCCCTACTGGATCTGACCCCCAACCTCCTGCACCTTTAACTCCTCTGTCAGCCTCTCCTTCTTCTCCTTCAGCTTATCCACGGCCTTCTCGTCCCAACGCCGAGCCTTGGCCTTCAGGTCGCTGGCGCCGCCAGAGATCACCCCCGACTTCTGGAACAGGGTGCCGTCCAGGGCGACAGTCTGCAGGGGCGAGAGCACGGCAGGTCAGGGCACGACCTCCCGTCCCCCGATGCGCCGCAGCCGGGGCGAGGTTCAGGGATATCGCCTGGAAAGAGGCTGCAGCGACTTGGAGGAGACCCGGGCGATAAGGAACAGCCAGCATGGATTTGCCAAACAAATCATGCCGGACCAACCGATTTCTGGTCTCTGCCGGTGTCACCGGCCTAGTGGACGGGGGAAGCTGCAGCCGAGCTAAATCTTGATTTTCGTCGGGCTCTGGACCCAGTCCCAGGGGACATTCTCACAAGCAAACTAGGCCCACGGGAGCCAGATGAAATGACCATCAGGCGGGCGGAAAAAAACATCCTCAAAGACCGAAGGTCGCAGTCAAGCCAGGCGCTCCCGCGGGGCTTGGTCCCGGGGCCGGTGCGATTGGCTTCGGTCCCGGACGATTAGAGCGACGGCGCAGAGCGGGCTGATGAAATCTGCAGCCGAGCCGGGAGGGTCGCCAGCCGTTCGGAGGGCGGGATCAGGGTTTAAAAAAAAAAGCCACCAGCGACAAATTGGGAGCCGGGGTCTGAATTCAGGGAGCCAGGACGCCTGGGTACTCTCTCCAGCTCTGGGAAGGAAGCGGGGGTCTAGTGGGTGAGAGTCTGGCGCGGCCGGGATCAGCTGTTCGCTGCGCCCGCTGACGGCGGGACGAGAAGCCCTGGGCTTCACCTGCAGCAGGGGAGACTGAGGCTGGCGAGCAGGAAAGGGGGAGTCAAGCGCCAGAATCGGCTCCCAAGGGGGGCGTGGAAGCTGGGGTGGCCTAGGCTGACTCGGGCCCGTCTCAGCGGCGGGGGCGGACGGGATGCCCTGTTGAGATCCTTCTGGGCCGATTTCTAGGATTCTGCCAGGCGGCTCCGGCCTCCGCAACGCACTGCACCGGGATGGGGAAGAAAGCCAGGGGCGGGGGGCTGGGAGCCCGGACTCCTGGGTTCCATCCCTGGCTCTGGGAAGGAAGTAGAGGGGGTCTAGTGGGGGCAGGGGGGAGATGGGAATCAGGATGCCTGGGTTCTCTCCCGAGCTCTGGGAGGGAGAGAAGAGGGGGGAGGGATCTACTGGTTAGAGTGGGGGAAGCGCTGGGAATCAGGATGCCTGGGTTCTCCGGGAGGGACAAGCGGGGAGGGGGGTCTAGTGGGTCAGGAGGCCGGACACCTGGGTTCGCTGCTCACCTTGTGCCTCTGGTGGCCCCCGAAGGCGATGCGCCGGGCGTCCTCCACGTTGTCACACACCAGGGCGTTCCCGCAGGCGTACTGCAGGGCCTTCTTGATGTGGGGCGGCTCATAGCGGATCACGTCGATCACCAGCTTGGCCCCCTTCAGCTCCCGCAGCTTCTCGTCCGTGGGCTTCACCTGCGCGGGGAGGGGGAGAGATGGCAGGAGACTCCCAGTGCAGTGGGGGGCGGGGGGGGCACCAGACAGGGACCCCTTGCTACCAACTGGCAGAGCCCCCAGGAAACGTGCACCCAGCTAACATTCCCCCCCGGCCCTTTTCTGGATTTAAATCTTCACACTCATGCAAAGTTATGGGGGGGGGGGTCAGATTTTCACTCCTCATATGCGAACGGTTCCAGCCCGCTAATTATTTCCGCTGCCTTTCTCTGTGCTTCGCCCCCGTTCGAAGAGATCTTTGGAGAGACGGGGCGCCCAGACCTGCCCACAGCGTTCGAGGTACCGTGGATTTCTACGGCTCATTCCCCATCCCTTTCCTAACGCGCTGGTGGGCTTTCGGGACGGCGGCCGCGCACAGCGAGCGGGTGTGGGTCCAGAACTACCCAGGGCGAAATCGACGCCGGCCGAGAACCAACGAAAGGCAAAGGCTCGGGCGGCTATGTCCCGGGCTGCGAAGAGCCGGGCCGCGAGGAGCCCCAAGCGCTGGAGGGGTCTGGGGGCAGCTGGCACGGGCTGGGCGTGGATCTAAAGGGGAGTTGGGGGGCTGGCACGGGCTGCTCCACGGGGAGCATAACAGAGTGGCCAGGGGCCAGGCACTCGGGGGTCGCGTGTGCCTATCGCCGACGGGGGCTGAGAGGGCAGGTGGTGGGGGAGCTGGCTCGCCCATGGGGGGGCTCACCTCCAGGTAGTCCAGGGGGAGGAAGGTCTCCGGCTCGCCCCGCTGCTCCTTGATGTACTGGATGCAGTCGCGGCCCGTCTTCTCCGAGTCCACAATGATGGCGTCCATGTTCTTGCCTAGCACCTTGGTGACGGCGATCTGGTATTTCTTCTGCGTGGGCTGGCAGAGGTCGATGAGCCGCCCGTACTGCGCAGGGGGGGCGGGGGGACAGGGGGTGAGCGGGGCAGGGACCCCCACTCTCTGCTGGCCCACAGCCTCCCCCAATCCAAGAGCCCCTTCCCAGAGCCCCCCCCACCGCTCCTGTTCCAGACCCCCCAAACCCCCACCCCCTTCCCAGAGACCCCCAAAATCCCTCCTGTGCCAGACCCCAAAATCTCAGTCCCTTCCCAGCCGCCCAAAATCACAGCCACCCCAGAGACCCCCCCACCTCTCCTGTTTCAGAGACGCCCCCAAATACCTCCCATCCCCGAGACCCCCCTCAACTCCTCCCGCTCCAGAGACACCCCCCTCCCAGACACTCCTGCAACCGCTCCCGTTCCAGAGCCCCCCCAACACCCCCATGAGCTCTCCAACCAATGGGAGACCCCCAGCAAGGCAACAGTCCCCTCCCAGCCACCCGACTCCCCCCAAAATTACAGAGCCAGAGACCCCTCCCCCTTCCCCACGTGCCTGGCCCCACCGCACCCCCATGCACCCCATAGATCCCCTCCCCCCACGCACCACGGAGCCGGGGTAGAGGCGCTTGATGCTCTCCATGATCTCGGCCTTGCGCTGCTGGCGGCTGTTCTCCTGCCGGTCGATGCGGGCGTCCCCTAGCTGCTCCATCACCTGGTTCAGCTCCTTGTTGATTTCGTCGATGCGCCGCTTGGCCAGCTCCACCTCCTCCGTCAGCTCCCCCTCCAGCTTCTTCTGCTCCTCCAGTGACTGCCTGCGGGGGGCGCCGGCGAGCACTCAGGGGAGAGCGCCCCCTGGCCAGCCCCCGCTCCCCCGGTACCCACTGCCTGGGGAGAGCGCCCCCT